GTATTGGATTTATAATAAAATAAGCATATTTGTTTACTTCAATTAAAATAATAATAATAAGCTTCTAACTCTCAATAAATTACAAGTATTTGATTAGAAGTTCAAAAATCAAAACGAAAGTCTTGACCAACTTCACCAAGATAAGAAGCTCTGTTAAATCATAAATGTTCATTAATTAATGTAATTAAAAACTAGAGCCGTGCTGAATAGGGTCAGAGGCAGGGAATTTATTTTTAGGGGTCCACATGTAATGTTCAACAAATAATTTGTTCAAATATAGAAAATAAATTTAGGAAGTCACCTTTTTTTTTTTTTTTTTTTTTTTTTTTTTTTTTTTTTTTTTTTTAATTAGGGGCTTAGTGTCAAATTCAACGAACGAGAAGGTTAAAAAAATCAATATTTAAAAATGAAAAGACATGTCTTTTGTATAAATTAAAACTTTGTTGGTTGGGTGGCCTTCGTATAGCTCCGTCATACTTGTGTAACCCTACAATGCTTGAAAAACACTTATAAAAGCTTCAATTAATTTTTGAGAATATGAAAATAATAACTTTATTTAAAATCTCGTTTTCTTCGAGAAGTTAAAAATAATGGTTTTTGGTTATGTAATTGAATCTGAATCCTTGTTGTTTCTATTTTAAAAAAGTATTTGATAAAGGTTTATTTAAAGAAAACTTAAAAAAATAAAAAAAAAAAAATCAATGGTTGATTTTCTAAAACAAAAAGTCCTCTAAGTAATTTTTTTATATATGAAATATATTTTAGTAGATCTGGGTAGGGACTGGTCCTTACCGGGCTTGGGTTTGAGCCTGATTGGGACAAGTCACTCATGGGCTTGGATCGGTCCTAGGCCCATGAGAAATTTTGGGACCTGGACCGATCCTGGTCCTACAGGCCTGAAAAATTATTTTTCACCCCCTAATTTTTTTTTTTATATTTACAAAAAAATTATGTAGGGGGGTCTATGTAATTTTTAGGGGCTTGGAAAATTTTTCTACCCCTGAGAGATTAGTAAATTTTTAATTAATTTTAAAAAATAATAAAATAATAAATAAATTAATGGTTAATTATAATTAATAATTATTTATAAATATGGGGATTTACATTTAAACTTTAAAGAGATAATTTAATTAATTAATTTTAACATAAATGTAATATTCACACAATCACACTTTAGATATAAACAATTAAATAAATTTGTTTTTATTAAATTATTCATCATCGACAATATTTATATCATTCAAATATGTGTTCATAAAGAGTTCGACATCTTCAGGGTGCTGCTGTAGTCTTCTCTCTGCATGAGTCCAATCCCCGTAAACACGTTATCACTTCAATCATCTCATTGGTTAAAGAGTATCTTCTGTCTTCAACAATTCGGCCACTCATTGAGAATGCTGACTCGGATGCAATTGTAGAAACTAGCACAGATAAAATGTCACGTGCCATTTGGGCTACAATGGGGAATCGACTTTGATGTTGTTTCCACCATTGAAGCACATCAATCTCATGTTTCTCATTCTTCATCATGTAGGACATGTCCATTTGTAGATAACGATTCAACTTATTTGGTCTACGTATATACTAGCTGGAGTTGCTACTTCCGTCGCCATGTTCCATATACGTCCACATGCTTGATTCTTGATAGTTGTCTTCATCAGGGTCATCTCTGCTTGACGTTCTAGTTCCATTGTACCTGCTCTGATATAAAGGAAAAAGGCTTTCCAATTTTTGCTTAAAGTTAATCAAATAATACGTATAATCATATCCTAAATGTTGGCCTATCTCAGTAATTATATAATTAACTACTTGTAATTTAAACCTAGGATCTACAACAAGGCCTAATCCATATAAGAATGAAATATTTAACCAATATTTCTCGTATTTTTTTATATCTTTGAAACAATTTCCATTAAAACGTCATTATATATATATATTTAGCAAAAGTTTTAGAAATTTGAAGTAAAATATCTAACACTAAATTAGTAGTAGGATAATAAATACCACTTAATGTATTAATGGATTCATAAAAAACTTTAAGAAATGAATAAAAAAGTTCACAAACCACCCAATTATCATAGCTGACAACTTCCTGCGGATTCTTTTGGTTGATGAAATCTATAATTTGTTTTGCGGTTGACAAAGCTTTTTCCAACATCAAGTAGGTGGAGTTCCAATGGATAGGCATGTCCATACATAACTTCAAAGGTCGAACCGATGGATCCTCTTGTTTATACTATTTGATGTACTCTTGCCATCTTTTATTGCTACTGCCGAAGATGAATCCGATAGCCACGCGCACCCTCTCAATCTTTGAATTTATAGCTTTTAAACCTACTTTAATTAACAATCAAATTGATGATGTGGCAAACACATCTCTGGTGAAAAAATTTACCTTTACCACATGGATCCAATCTCTTTTCAAATAAAGAGATAGCCGCGGTGTTAGTAGTTGCATTATCTAGCGTTAGCATTACAACTCTATCAACTAATACATATTCTTGTAAAATTTCAAGTATTGTAAAATAAATAGTGTCAGCATTATGTGCAGTATATAATGGTCTAAAACCTATCAATTTTTATTGTAAACCCCAACCATGATCTAAGTAATTTATTGTAATAGTTAAAAAATCTGTTTTTGATCTATAAGCCCATATGTCCGAAGTAAGTGTAATAGATATATTCCTAAAATTTTGAAATTCGTTTTTAAGTTGAATATTTATTTGGTTATAAAGTTTTAGTATGTCTCTTCTACTTGTACTTTTACTAATAGAGGTATATGCTGGACAAAATACAGTTTTAATCAAGTGAATAAAAAAATGATTTTCAGATAAAGAAAGGGGAGAGTCCGTAGCAACCATGTATTTTGCTATTTCTTCTCGTGCTTAGAGTGCATTGTATTACCATGTTGATAGAGTTGAGAATTGTGGATTAAAATTAAGTTGAGTTTGAATTTGCTTACCTAGTCTAGTTGAAGATGAACCGGACAGTTGCATTATTTGGGGTGCTTCTTCTCCAAATGTCGTGGCATCGTCAAAGCCTCCTTCTCAGTGTCGATAACGGTTCCATAGAAATTACATACCCCACACAATTCTTCCACCTCCCCATTCGCCTTTACCCGTTTTAATTTGGTGAAGTGTCGCTATACATCGGACACAACCCTCTTTAACTGTCAGGGGGGTTAGGTTGTGGAGTTGTAGCTCGCTTGTGTTTGGTTGCACCCCGTCTCAGCTGAATGTGGTTGTTGTCGTTGAATTGCAGCTGTTGTCTCTGAAAATGGTGAAAATGGATCGAACCCTTCCATTTCTTCAATTGATGGAATGTAGAACTTATTTGACCCTTCAATTATGAATTTATGATAAAATAATAAATAATTAAAATTAAAAAAATTAAATAATAATATGAATAAGAGATAATATTGAAAACTAGAAAAAATTGAATAATATAAATAAATTATAAATATAAATATAAATTGAATCGAAGAAAATATGAATGAGAATTGGAACGCCAAGGGTTGGGGGGGGGGGGGGTGTTTGTTGTTTTTGTAAAATATCAATTTAACCCTTAATATTTTTGTCAATTTCAAAACATTCAAAGGGTTTTTAGATATTTGACATAAGACTTTTCAAAATTAAGCAAAAAGGTTTGGTCCCAGGCCCGGGCCTTGGAGGAGGGCCCGATCAAAAGACTAGGCCCTACAAGGACCGATCCTAGGACCATTCCTTTGGGCTGAGTTTTTAGGACCAATCCCAAATGCCCAGGTCTATATTTTATGATATCCTTTTCACTTACTTTTACAAATATCGATACAATAGTTTCAAAGGACATCCAAGTGGGTCCTAAATCTCTTGCTAAATTAATTAATGAATATTGTAATAGAAAATGGAAAAAACTTCCCACGTTTGGAATGATTTGTGTTAAAAACTCTTTTATTTTCCACACATTTAGACCAAATGACATATTCCCACCCAGGTTTAGCAAAATCCCAAGTTATATCTCTGATTGCATTTATTTCAGATTCTCATTTTTAAAGTAATGTCATTTTTTTTAATAGATTCTTGACTTTTTACTATAATGTGGCGCACGTTAGCATGCTAAAGTACGCCAGTGATTTCTTTGACAAAAGATGGGCTCATGTTAGCAAAAACGGATTCACATTAGCAGCGTCCAAGCCGATGGTTGTTGGCTTTTTTTGATTGATTTCGAAGTCAAAAATCACTTATGAGTTCACCCATGGACTCCCCACAATCTCCTATACAAAACTCATACCTTCACTTGTTGACCTCGTTTACCATTTCCAACCACCTCCAACAATCACTAATGGTGTTAGTTTAAGGGTGAAAATTTGAAATAAATATAACTAGAGGTATCAACTTGAGATTTCGCTAAAGCTCGGGTGAGAATATGTCGTTTACTCCACACATTTATTATAAAAAGTAATTTATGTGATTCCTACGCAATTAGGTCATCATAATTGACTGGTTTTTTTTTTTTTTTTTTTTTTTTTTTTTTTTTTTTTTAATAATTTGCAAAGTTGACTAGATTTTCTTAGACATGATTTTTTTGTACATCATACAAATGCTGATTAAAATATAAAAATAAATGTTATGATTATAATTACTGGTGTAATATATGTTGAGTCTTCACAAACCATCTTTCAAGAAAATGGGAAAAAAAAAAAAAAGTTTGATGTGAGAGGACTTAATAATAATCTTGAAATTTAGAGGTTACTCAAGCTTAAATGGCCTGGATGGTAACTTACTACCCTTTTAATTGGATGGTAACTTACTACCCTTTTAATTGGATGGCAACTTAACAATAATCTTGAAATTACTTTAGCGTTGATTTAAAGGTTATTTAAGCTTAGGCGGGATGACAACTTACTATCGTTTTAGGTGGATAGCAGCTTAACAATAATCTTGGAATTAGCGCCTACTTAAGGGTTACACTCATCTAAATTTATTCTGCAACTGCAGATAAAATATAACAAAAGATAGAAGATGGGCTCTATAGATAACAAAGAAACATTGTCCATTAACAAAGCAAATGAAGTATTTGTTGATGCCATGCTCTTCTACAACTCAATTGTGTTCCCCATGGTCCTCAAAGCAGCCATCGAGCTGAATTTGTTTAAAATAATTGCTAAAGCAGACCCTGGTGCTCACATTTCAGCCTCTAAGGTAGCGTCTCAACTACCTTCCAATAGCCCATCCACACCTTCAATGCTTGATCGTGTGCTGTATTTCCTGGCTAGCCATTCAATGCTATCCGACTCATTGCGCACCCTCGAAGACAGTAGAATTGAGAAACTTTATGCTCTTACAGCCGCCTCTCAACTCTTTGTCAACAATAATGATGAACTCATGCGCTAATCTGATGTATCGCTCCTTTTTTACCACCTAGCTGCGTGCCAGCTTGGTATGGATCATGATCTTTTTCTTATCTAGAGTTATTACTTGAACAAATAAATGTTGGGAATTGTGATTAATGTTGATATAGAAATTTGCACTGACCAGAGAATTCTGATTGACCCTGCCGGAACCAAAATGGATGTGCACGTGATTTAATAAAAATCAACAATGAAGAAAAAAGAAAGAGCCATAAATAAGAATACAAGATAATTTTTAAAGTGGTTTGGCAAGTTAGAACTTGAGCTTACGTCCACTGTTATCTTATTGCTTTTGAGAGCTTATAAAGAACAATATAATTCCTAGGAAAATTTGCTTAGAAAAATTGCCCAACCCCCCTGAAAACAAGTTATGATGGGTTTATATAGCACTCATTTATATGATAGAGTTGAGATAAGATTCAAATACGTAGTATTAGGAAGTTGCATGATCTTCGGCTACCTTAGTTGGAGTCTAAGTCAATCTGAATATATTCCTTCCAAATTGAGCCAATCTAAATATCTTCTCTCCTAATAGGGAATTATCCTCTCCGGATTAACCGCACAACAATAGGCCCCTAGTTTTTGGAGTGTGTAATTGTGCTTAAAAAACTCATGTCTTTGATCTGGATGGTTGTCGCACTATAGGTTACAGTCTCGAATTGAAGAACTTGAGTTATGCTTGGCGCAATCTAAGAGATCTGAAAGATCTTGAACACGTGATCTCAAGCAAATGAGTTAGCTTATGAGCTTAATCAGGGATCATAAAGAGCTCGATTAGAAAGCATAAAGAGCTCGAGCTGAGAGTGCTAGGAGTTCGATTAAAAAGCGTAAAAAGCTTGATCTGAGAGCATATCTCGATCAGAAAGCATGTAGAGCTTAATGTGAGAGCATAGCTCGATCAGAAAGTAGGGAAAGCTTGATTTGAGAGCATAGCTCAATCAGAGAGCATGGAGAGCTTGATATGAGAGCATTGCTCGATCAAAAAACATGGAGAGCTTGATCTGAGAGTATAGCTCGATCAAAAAGCATGGAGAGCTCGAGAGCTAAAGAGCTAGCTTGAGAGCTCGATAGCTTGGGAGTTAGAGAGCTAGCTTGAGTGCTCAATAGCTTGGGAGCTCAAGAGCTCGATAGCTTGGAAGCTAGAGAGTTAGCTTGAGAGCTTGATAGCTTGGGAGCTAGAAAGCTTGAGAGCTAGCTTGAAAGTTCGATAGCTTGGGAGCTAGAGAGCTCGATAGCTTAGGAGCTAGAGAACTCGATAGCTTAGGAGCTAGAGAGCTAGCTTTAGAGCTCAATAGCGTGGGAGCTCGAGAGCTCTTTCTAATCTGAGAGATCTGAGTGCTTGATCTAAGCGATTTGGTCACTTGATCTGAAGCTGAAGATCAAAGTGCATGATCTAAGCATTCTGACCACGCGGTCTAAGAGCTCTGATTTGGAACATGCTTCAATATTTTGACGATAACTTGAGCTGTAGACCTCGGATTTGGATGATTCTTGACCATCGGAAAGCTAACTCAAAGGGCTACAATTCTTGTGTTTACCGCTTAGCCAGATTCAGACTTTATCCTACTTATATTTTCATATTTGACACGTGATTCTAGAAAAAGAAGCTCGGATGCTGAAGAATGAGACTTGTTGGAAAAACATGGAGAGTTGATGTGAATCAGGCCCTCCTTCTTTTGCCAAAATATTGATACAGAATCTGTACAACCGGAGAATTCTGATTGATTCCGTCGGAACCGGAATGAATGTGCACGTGATTTAATAAAAATCAACAATTGAATAATTAAAGAGAAAATACAAGTAATAATAGTAGGCAATTTTTAAAGTGGTTTGGCAAGTTAAAACTTGAGCCTACGTCCACTGTTTCTCTTGTTGAATAAGAATTACAAATGATGAATCTTTTCCTAGAACAATTGCCCAGCCTCCCTGAAAACAAGTTATGATGGGTTTATATAGCACCCATTTATATGATAGAGTTAAGATAAAATTCAAATACGTAGAATTAGGAAGTTGTATGATCTTTAGCTACCTTAGTTGGAGTTTAAGTCAATCTGAATATCTTTCTTCCAAATTGAGCCAGTCCAAATATCTTCTCTCCTAATAGGAAATTATCCTCTCCAAATTGACCGCACAACAATAGTCCCCTAGTTTTTGGGGTGCGTAATTGCGCTTTAAAAACTCATGTCTTTGATCTGGATGGCTGTTGCACTATAGGCTACAGTCTCTAACTGAAGAACTTGAGTTATGCTTGGTGTGATCTAAGAGATCTAAGAGATCTTGAACACATGATCTCAAGCGAATAAGCAAGCTTATAAGCTTAATCAGGGAGCATAAAGAGCTCGACCTGAGAACATAAAGAGCTTGATCAAAGAGCATAAAGAGCTTGACTTGAGAGCGCGAAGAGTTCGATTAGAAAATGTAGAGAGCTTGATCGGAGACCATAGATCAATAAGAAAGCATGGAGAGCTTGATGTGAGAGCATAGCTCGATCAAAAAGCATAGAGAGCTTGATCTGAAAGCATTGCTTAGAAAGCATGGAGAGCTTCATCTAAGAGCATAGCTTGATCAGAAAGCATGAAGAGCTTGATCTAAGAGCATTGTAAGATCAGAAAGCATGAAGAGCTTGATTTGAGAGCATAGCTCGATCAGAAAGCATGAAGAGCTTGATTTGAGAGCATAGCTCGATCAAAAAGCATGGAGAGCTTGATATGAGAGCATAGCTCGATCAGAAAGCATGGAGAGCTTGATATGAGAGCATAGCTCAATTAGAAAGCATGGAGAGTTTCATCTGAGAGCATAGCTCGATCAGAAAGCATGGAGAGCTTGATCTGAGAGCATAGCTCGATCAGAACGCATGGAGAGCTTGATCTGAGAGCATGGAGAGCTTGATTTGAGAGCATGGAGAGCTTGATCTGAGAGCATAGCTCGATCAGAACGCATGGAGAGCTTAATTTAAGAGTATAGTTCGATCAGAACACATGGAGAGCTTCATTTGAGAGTATAACTCGATTAGAAAGCATGAAGAGCTTGATATGAGAGCATAACTCGATTAAAAAGCATGGAGAACTTCATCTAAGAGCATAGCTCAATCAGAAAGCATGAAAAGCTTAATCTGAGAGCATAACTTGATCAAAAAGCATGGAGAGCTTGATATGAGAAATAGGCTTCAATATCTTGACAATAACTTGAGCCACAGACCTCAGATTCGGATGATTCTTGAACCGTTGGAAAGCTTACTCGAAGATCTACAAATCTTATGTTTTCCATTTTGCCAGACTTATACTTTATAATGCTCAATACTGCTCATCTGTAAGTGGCTTCAATTCCATAGTTTGATTTGGTGACATGGATTGTAGCCACAGCTGAATTTATTTATTTATTTATTATTTTTTTTTTTTTTAGTAGTTGGAAGATGGAAAAGAAACTGCTAGAAAACAGAGAGAGGTCAAAGTGTTCAAGCCCTCCTTCTAGTGCCAAAATGTTGATACATAAATTTACAGCAACCAGAGAATTTTGATTGACCCTGCCAGAACCGGAATAGATGTGTGCGTGATTTAATGAAAATCAGCAATGAATTTAAAAAAAAAATGGTCATACATAAGAACACAAGATAATTTTTAAAGTGGTTTGGCAAGTTAGAACTTGAGCCTATGTCCACTATTATCTTATTGCTTTTGAGAGTTTACAAAGAATAGTATAATTCCTAAGAAAATTTGCTTAAAACACTTGTCCAACCCCCTTAAAAACAAGTTATAATAGGTTTATATAGCACCCATTTACATGATAGAGTTGATATAAGATTCAAATACGTAGAATTAGGAAGTTGCATGATCTTGGGCTACCTTACTTGGAGTTTAAGTCAATCTGAATATCTTCCTTCCAAATTGAGCAAATCTAAATATCTTCTCTTTTAATAAAGAATTATCCTCTCCAGATTGACCGCACAACAACTAAATCAGAATGTTACAAATAAATATATTTGAATCATTGATAAGTGTAAATTCAACCATACCATGAAATTCTTAAAATTTCACGAAAGTTCAAATTATGAGAGGATCCAAATTCATTGGTATATGCATTGAAATGTATTCAAAACCTAATTTCGTAGTTTTTTTTTTTTATTCTTTTTTCTGTTGAGTTATTAATCTCTTGTTTGTATAATGTACAGGTTGAATATGAAGGATGGGATTCTCGAAGGGGTTGGTGATTTGTTCAAGAAAGTTAATGGTATTACCTTGTACGAGTACATGAGCAATGATCCAATTGTGAATGAGGCGCTGGATGGTATTTCCCAATTTCTGATGAAGGGGGTTCTACAGGTATACAGAGGATATGAGGGACTTGCATCATTGGTTGATGTTGGTGTGGTGGAACAGGCAAACGCCTCCACATGATCACCTCTATGTACCCTCACATTAAGGGCATTAATTTTGATTTGCCTCATGTTATACAAAATGCACCAACTTTTCCTGGTATTCATTTCTATACATAGATACACCTAGATACCTAATCAGAGTTGTGTAAAATTTTAAAACACAGTAAAACTTTTGTAAAGGTATCGAACATGTTGGAGGGGATATGTTTTCAAGTGTCCCAAACGCAGACGCAATTATGCTGCAGGTTTGTTTGGAAATTAACTATTATTTCACTAGAATTTGACATTCAACATTCAATGACTTAAATGGTTCACTTTCTCTTTCTTTCATAATTGTTATTATCTCTTTTTTTTTTTTACAGCATGTACTTAATAATTGGAGCAATGAAAACTGCATAAAGCTCCTGAAGAATTGTTACACAGTACCGCCAAAACATGGAAAACTGATTATTATAACTGTAGTAATGCTAGAAGAACCTGTTTCAAACAAGTATTCTACGTATACTTCTAAATTGGACATGACAATGCTTTCACATCTTTCAGCTGGGAAAGAAAGGACAAGAAAAGAATTTGAGAGCTTGTGCTAAAAAGCTGGATTTTCCAACTTTCATGTAGATTTCCAGGGCCTTGAAGCCGTCTTAGAATCTTATAAGGGTGTGTGTGATCAACCTACGAAGGCATTTTCTTTCTTTTGAAATAAAATCAAACACCTCAATGCCGATGGGTAGGTCAGATTGTACTGTGTAAAGCCATTATATAGTACTAAATAATACAGTACAATGTTTGGTGTATCTTTGTATTGTATTAGCTAATAATACAAGGTACAAGTACTTAATCAATATATATATGATGTACTATTTAGTACTCTTAAGTTATCATTTCACCTAAAAATTCAAACTATTAGGTGAAGGCTCAATACGATATTAGTAGGCTCAATAATTCAGCACACTAAGAAACTGTTAAAGTTAGTCGTTTATCTCAACATTATATATGTTTATGAAATTTCATGGCATATATTAGTTATGGTGTTCTGATCTTGAGATTGATTCAATCTCTATTGTCGTATTATGTTATGTATATATTAGCCTTTGGAGTCTCTACTTACGCAAAACCTCATTTACTGGAATTATGTGCAAATTAACAAAACATATACTATTGTTGAACGGAATACAAAACAAAATAACATAGAAGCTTATTCAACAAAATCTGTAAGTCTCTTTCCAAATTAATTACTTATATTTTTTTGAACATCAAACCTGATTTATTCAACTTTTTCTTTTTATTTCTTAAATCATTTTGGCATTGAAGGTATTGAATAGTTTTTCCAATTGCCAAAACTACGGCTTCATTTGGTTGCCAATTAGGAATACTACTTTTAGTATTCCCAAAAAAGTTAAAAAGTAAAATACTCAAAAACTCTAAATATTATTCAACTTTTTTTAAACCCCCCTAAATTTGTTAATTTAATTAAATACCCATAAATATTTTTTTAAAAATTGCAAAAACACCCCAACAATCCACATTTACCAGATTCCGGCTACCACTGCCGGAAAATGGCCGGAATCTGGTAGGATGGAGCACTACCGGCTGAATCTGGCCGGTAGTGCGCTGATCTAGCCTTTTCCGGCCAGATCCACTGTGGATCTAGCTGGAAAAGGCCAGATCTAAGGCCAAAGATCTAGCCATTGACGGCCAGATCTTTAGCCGTAACTAGTCGGTAACGACGGCCAACAAATGGTTGTCGTTGACCATCAATGACAACCGTTTGTTGGCGTCGTTGAATAGCAAATACGGCCAGATCTGGCCGTCAATGGCCAGATCTAGCCGTAGATCTGGCCTTTGCCGGCCAGATCCACCGTGGATCTAGTTGGAAAAGGCCATATCGGTGCACGACCAGCAAGATCCAATCGATCATGCGCCGATACGGCTACTCCGGCCACCCTCTGACGGTGGTGGTCGGCTGTCCGTATTTGAGGGTGGGTTGGGGGTATTTTTGTTAACTTTTAATGTTTTATTATAGAGGATGTTTTGTGAAAAAACAAACATAAGGGGTATTTTATTAATTTATAAATCTTACATCGTAATACCCGCCTAATTCAATTTTTTTTTTAACTTTTTTAAAAAAACCTTTCCCAACAACACAAAATTCTGAATTAAACGGAGCCTACATAATTTCACTTTTGGCTCTAACCTTCCTGACAAGTTCAAAGAATAAATTCTATATATGTTGGCTTCCAGGACCAAACGTGCTCCGAAAACCGTGCAGTAAATCAAGAGCCTATCTCTTATATATGTAATAATTATTCATTCATAGAAATGCCAAAGATTAATTTGGATGCATCTTGAGATGGTACATGAATCTCAAGCTGATATCAAAATGTATATTATGAGTAATTTATAGAATTAATAAATATTTGTTAAATTATTTCTTCTACAGGTTTATCACTTAATAAACCTTTTTTTTTGTAATGTGTTAATAGAAATGAGCATAGAGTTTTTACCCAACTAGTAATTCTAGAGATTCGAAAGATTAATTGAGATATATGTAAATTAACCTGTACAATCTTTGTGGTAAATTTTTTTCTATGAAACGTCTAGTAATAAAAAAAATTTAATCAAAAATATCAACACGATCTTTTAAAGAGATTCAGGCAAGTTATAGCAGTCATTTGACCATGTAACCGAGTCAAAAAGGAATAAATAATGTTCTCTTCTCAAGTTTAGAAAGCAAGTTTTTTATTCCAAATTATGTATCATTATTATATATTAGTAATACATGTAAATCATATGATTATGATCAACGAATATATTATATACTTGAATTGATGTTATTCGAGACTAAAATATAGAACGCTATAGACCATTTGGATAAAATATAGGCGGATGTTAGTTCGATTTTGTTGAATTATATTTATTTAGTTCTTCATAAAAAAAATCTAAAATATTATAAAAATACCGGAATAGTCATACCACAAGCTAATATTTTTATAACACTGACTTAATTTTTTTTTCTTATTATTTTTATATTGCATAGTAATATCAATGGGATTTATTATAAATAAGGGCAATTTAGTAATCTATATAATATATCCACCAATTTATTCCAACCTAACCAAATACATTTCTTTAAACATTATCAACAATCTTCAAAGTAATATATATTTTCATTAATATAACATTCCCAATAATATAACATTCTCCAAACCAAACACACTCTTAGGGGTTAAAGTATCAATTTTAACAAATAAGGGGACCAAAAATACTTAATAAATGAAGGATGTTTGTGTCATTAAGCAAATAAGGGCAACCTTAGGGGTTAAACTATCTATTTTTTATTTATTGGGGGAGTTTGTTAATGAAGGATGTTTGTGTCGATGGCGACTTTTAATTCTGCTGGAAATCGACAAAACCTACAAATTCCACCACCTTCAGGTGTTCATGAGGACATTTTTGCATATCTATATATTTCTTTTCTTCCGCTAAAATGGACACATATATAGTACCTGCATACATTAATTAATTAATTAACTGCAACAGATTATCTGATATAATTTAATTACCTTTAATGCTAATTTATGCAAATAAGGACAAGTATTCATCGTGTGAGAAACCAAACCAATAAGGCTTCGTCTAGAACTTCAACCATTTAAATTTAATTAATTACTAACCACAATTAACCAGTATATATTTGTGGAACTCGGGAATCTTGAGCCAAGGAGAATGCTCTTAAATTGAGTACATAAAGTTCATTACTGGAACTACCAAAAGAGAAGCAGAACCACCAATTAATACATTGTTAAGATGTATCTTGATCTCACGTCCAATCTATTTAAAATATACAAGACTCGGGGAAGAAACTTCAATTTAGTGGCAACACTGGATTTCTAGGTAGTTGAGTTGGGTTGATGAACCAACAGCCTTTAAAGTTGTAAAATTTGAAGAGTATGTATGCTACAGTAATTGCTCTAGAAGTGGGCAACTGTAATTAAAAACCTCAAGAATCTCTTGGGTAATGTTCACAGCTTCTAAACACAGAGATCTGAGACACTTAACCTTTGATAAAAAAATGAGGAATCGGAATCGTTTTGTATTGAATTTGAATCGGATAAAAAAATAATTTCCAGTTAAATGCCGAGAATTAACATTGGCATTTTTTTCTGCTACCTCAGCAACTGTCTATGTGTACCTGTACTTAATATATTACTACTACGCGAAGTTTAAGATGTCAGGCTTCTTCCAGACGAGCTTATGTTTTGTCTTGGCTTAGGAATCCTTCGTGGAAATATCATCTCTCTTGTCCCTGGCCTCCCATTTAACATATGTTTTTCCATACTATCATCCTTATAATTATTTTCTTTCTCTTTTTATTTAATTGTAGAAATGATTTCTTTTTCTGTTAAATGACTTGGTATTCATTTGGATGATTAAGGAAGATATTAATATTCGTTCGATTAGTATAGTAAAGTTATAGAATCTGATCACTCAATTCTACAATGACTATTTGATTCTCCTCATTCACTTCAATTGTAACTTGCAATTCATCGAAATCGGAGGTCCTAATTTTGTAATACTTAAAACAATTAAAAATTTTCTATGACTTCACATCAGTTGTCATGCAGCAATTACATTTACAATTCCATCAATAACAGTTATCTTTGTTGGTTTTAAAACATGATGTTCTATCTGTTTCAAAAGTAGACAATTGAAGCTCTGAATTGAAATCCTAATATTATTAAAACATGAATTAAAATTCTAATATTGTACTACTAAAACATGAATTACGAAATAAGAAATTTTTTTAACTACACCTCTATTAAATTATAATCTCCTCATAAAACAATTCCTTAAAAGTTTATTAGTAACAACTTCCTTGGAGAAGATCAGTGCCTAAGTTGACAACTTCATCAGGTGATTTCGAAACTTATAAGCCTGCAAGAACCATGGCTTTTTTTTTTTTTTAATAAATATTTTTAGTATCATTGAATTTTGAAACAATGACAACTGTATCTTATATGTGTTATTGAAATTAGAAAATTATTTTAAAAAAAAAAAAGTATTCCATATATTCATACATAGATAGATAAATAGAATAATTTAGGTGGGGAAATTTAGTTGAAAAAATGGAATAAAACTATTAGTTTGTCAAGGAATCACTTTATATCAATGGCATGGCCTTAGCTGTACAAGAGAATATCATAAGTATTTGAGCAATNTTGCATTCTTGGGCTGGAGGGTTAACTGAATTTGGGGATGGGAGGAATCAAGAAAGCACAAGTGAGGCTGTGAACGCATACTATTCAGCGGCTTTGATGGGGCTAGCGTATGGAGACACCCACCTTGTGGCCACTGGATCAATGCTAGCCTCAATGGAGATTCAGGCAGCACAGACATGGTGGCATATAAGAGAGCAAGACACTCTGTATGACAAAGATTTCACTCGAGAGAATAGAGTGGTAGGTGTTTTGTGGGCTAACAAAAGAGATAGTGGACTCTGGTTTGCTCCTCCTGCTTGGAGAGAGTGTAGGCTTGGCATTCAACTGCTCCCCCTATTGCCAATCACTGAGGTTTTGTTTTCTGATGTTGGATTCACGAGAGAACTTGTGCAGTGGACATTACCGGCTTTAGGAAGAGAGGGAGTTGGAGAAGGATGGAAGGGTTTTGTTTATGCTTTGGAAGGGATTTATGACAAAGAAAATGCTTTGCAGAAGATCAGAAACTTGAACGGTTATGATGATGGGAACTCACTTACTAATCTCTTATGGTGGATTCACAGTAGGGGTGATGAAGAGGAAGAAGGATGCGGTGGACTGGGGAAATTGTGCTGGTTTCATCACTACTGTCACTAATCTCTTATTTTTATATCAGCCTGTCCCTTTGTTCATGGGGATTTAGTCTGGGCTTCATCTGGATTTGATTGCTAGTTTATACTTGATAAATGTTGTCTTCGGTTTACATGCTTGTACATACATTTTAAAATAAGATTGATGTATCTCATCAAAGCTTTTCCTACAATCATTTGCCTCATTGCTATATTTCTGGTGTTGGTTTTGAGGTTTCAGTTTGACAATATCAATAAAGCTACAGTCACCGGGGTTTTTCACCGAAAATGTGTATTAGTTTACGTGTCCATTGACTCACACCATCAGTCCAGACACGTAATTAAATAATAAATATTTTTCTAGTGAACGGTCCCATCAAATATAGATGGTCGTTCACTTACATGGACTTCTGTCTATATTATATGGACGGGGGTCTATTTACTACGGATGGGCATTCACATTTAAAGGATGTCCGTCCATAAGTAAAATAGAATAATTTTTTTTTTTATAAAAATTAGGGACGATTGTTTATCCTTTAGGGACGACCATTCCTTTATTTTGGACGGGCATCTGTAAATAAGGACACTCCTCCTTAATCAAAATATAAAAATAAAAAAAATAAAAAACTAATTGGACGGGCGTCCATTCCGTCCATTATTTTGGTTTTTATACAGTGAGTGCGAGAAACCATGCATGCGAGTTTTTGTTCAGAGAAAGTCCCTTTTTTTTGCAGTAATGTTTCGAGAGTGCCGGCGTCCATGTACTCCATCACCATGGCAATATCCCCTGACGGTTTTTCGAACACGCCGTGGCACTGGACGACAAAAGGAGAGTCGGTACGGCGGAGGATTTCCATTTCGCGGAAGACTTGGCGGCGGAGTGTGGAGTCGCTCTCGCCGTGGACAACTTTCAAAGCAAATATCTTGTCAGTCCGTTTATGACGGACTTTGTAGACAGTTCCACCATTTCCGTGGTCGAGGACTTGTAGCCTGTCCAAGTCTGCGCATGTTATGGCGGCAGAATTGCCGGAGGGGGCGGCAGCTGGAGGGAGAGGTAAGGGGAAACGTGGGCAAGGGTCGGATTCTGGTAAAGGGAGTTTCAGATTCAACTGTCTGCGCTGCCTGACAACTGCCATTAATACAACTAAGAGCTTCCAGTTCAGGGTTTGACGAGATAAAATGAAGCGAGGGATTATATATAAAAATTTTGAAGGGAGAAGAAATGAATGATTCATGAAGGGAGAGAGCTAATTGGGGAAGTTGAAGATATTCATGGATATTTATGGACTGGAGTTCGTCTCATGAATGCGCTTTTGAGTACGGTTAATCAATGGTTTAGTTTTACTTGCATGAAAAATCAAGGTTGTTGTATGTTTATTTGTTATCAGAAGATTTGTTCGAATAATAATTAATCCTCTGGTTAAGGTTGCTGTATGTTTATTTGTTATCAAAGTGACTGGGCTCTTATGATCTTCTGTACCACTTTATTAATTTTACTGATTAAAAAGTTTTTTTTTTTAGGGGTTAATTTTTCTAAGTTTTCAGTGTTTAAAGCTACTAAAAATGATAGTTTCTGTTGGAGATAGCTTAATGTTGCTGTAAGTTTTAGTTTCTCAAAATTTATGGTTCGAGTAAAGGAAATGGATGCTTAAGTTTTGATTTCTATGATTGTAGTTCCAGAAAAAACCTCAGTTGCTGGAGATGGCAGTCGTGTTCGGTGATCTTAACTCAGCCTCTGGTTTGAAGAAACTTGATGAGTACCTTCTGACTCGTAGTTATATTACTGGGTGAGTTTTATTTTGCCGTATATTTGTCTGTGTGCTCCCAAGAATAGTGTCAGTATCCATGGCTTTTTCCTGCTAGAGGGCTTTTTTGTCGAGCTTTATGCCTATGATGGCTATGATTACTCTTCTTCTTTCCTTTCTGAACATTATCTTCTTTTCCCTCAACATTCTTCTCTGAACCTTTGTGTCTTCTCTCTTTACCATGACTTCTGTGGTGTTTGCTTCTTCTTGAGCTAGTATTGCCTTGACCAGGCATCTCTTCACCACCAATATTCTCTGATTCTAGAGGAAGATCAATATTCTTCTCCTTCCCTTTTCTCCTGCTAGATGGCTTATCAGACTGGTTAGTTAGTGATGAAGCAGGTACAACTTCATTACCTAAAAGAACATCCCGCACTGTGCTTTCTCTACGTGGTAGCAGTATCCATGTTTAGAATTTTTTTCTTTTTTTAAAGCATGACGGGCGTCCATTCCGTTCCAAACATAAGGGACGGTCATCCAAAATTTATGGACTATCATCCCTAAAGTTTTTTTTTTTTTCATATTTTGATTAAAGATGAACGTCTTTTATTTGTGGGCATCCATCCAAAATAAAGGGACGGCCGTCTATAATAGATGAACGACCGTTCCAAATGTTTATAAAAATTTTTTATTGTATTTTATTTATAAACGGGCGTCCTTTAAATGGGAATAACCATCCGTTATATATGAACCTCGTCCATATAATATGGACGGGGGTCTATGTAAGTAAACGGTCGTCCATATTTGATGGACGGCCGTTCACTAGAAAAATATTCATAAAAAAATCGAGTCATGCGTACACGTAGGTTGGTATACATTTTCGGTGCAAAATTTTCGATGTCCGTAGCTTGTTGTTGACGATATATGGCTGAGATTATCCAGAGCTTTTCCTGGACTTCAAACTTTTTCTTGATTGGTTTAGATGTGATTCTGCCTTGTTTGGAATGCTGAAAGGTGAAAAATGGAAGAGCAAATTTCGCTTAGTACCCGTGTTTTACGCGAATGCCAAGTTTAGCACTATTCTCAATTAACCCCCAAAACTATTTAACAATTATCTGATAACATCCCTTTTCATCAACTCTGTCAAAGATGAAGTAACAGAATACGAGTGTTTTACGTTTTTGCCCCTATCACGCATTGAATATTAACCGAACAAGACAAATAGACAACTACTGTGTTACCATGTTATTTCAAAAAGACAATAAAACCAACCAATTAAAATAAGAATTTATGTTATCAAATTTATTTATTTTTGTAGTTGATATTGTCCAATGGTCATATAATATGTGATGAGGAAAGTAATGAGGAGGGGACAAGTCAATGAAGGAGGAGTGAGATTACCAAATTACTACTGCAACGTTAACGCTTTTCAAACGGCATCAAGGAAAAAGGGTGGTTTGTATGTAATTCTTGAATAATATAGGGTTGCCAGGAACTTATAGCGTCAAACTTGGCACTCGCAGTTTCTAAAAATACAGGGGTACTAAGTGAAATTTGCTCCAACAATGGAAGTTCCGCAAGCAGCTATAGTTTAAAGCAGGGTGTTCAGTTCCGGTATCTTACAATTTTTTTTAAGGAACCCAATTGACAATTCCTTGAAATTTGAAACAATAACACTACGAACATCGAAATATCAGCACCGAATTTCTGTACCGACCTACGTGTAACGCGTCTTTCTATTTTTTTATAATTTTTTTCTAGTGAACGGTCGTCCATCAAATTTGGACGACCGTTCACTCACATGGATGCCCGTTCATGTTATATGGACGGGCGTCCATATGCGAGAGACGGCCGTCCATATAATATGGACACCCGTCCCTATTAAAATAAAATAAAAAAATTTGTAAAAGCTTAGGGATGGCCGTCCATTAATTTTGGACGGGCGTCCATATTATATGGACGGCCATCCCTCGCATAGGGACGGCCGTCCATATAATATGGACCCCCGTCCCTATTAAAATAAAAATAAAAAATTTGTAAAAGCTTAGGGACGGCCGTCCATCTATTATGGACGACCGTCCATTAATTTTGGACGGGCGTCCACAAATAATGGACGCCCGTCCTTCACCTAAATATGAAAAAAAAAAATTTCTTTGGGGACGCCCGTCCACAAATTGTGGATGGCCGTCCGTAATTTTTGGACGCCCGTCCAAAATTAATCTTTTACAAATCTTAAAAAAAGCGATGGACGTTGTGGACGGCCGTCCTTTTATTGTGGACGGGCGTCCGTAAGTAATGGACGCCCGTCCAAAATTAATTCGTAAAAAAAATATTTTTTAAACACTGGACAGCCGTCCACAATTAATGGACGGTCGTCCCTTTTGTAAAGGACGGTCGTCCAACCCTTATGGACGGCCGTCCATAATGTTATTAAAATTAAAAAAAAAAAAAAATTCGCGTTGTAGTAATATTTTTTTGTTTACATTAGCTTCTTCGATACACTTCTCCAACAAGCGCTAAAATTCTTCGAGCGAAAGAAAACCAGCGCCAAAATTCGTCGTCCCCTTCTACTTCATCGTTGCCGTCTGTTCTTCGTCTCAGTGTTGCGTCTGCATTCCTTAGCCATTTCTTCCCGCAACAAACATTTTCTCCTCATTTTCCAGCTACCGTGTGAAGAACGAAAGCTATCATCTTTTCATTTCATCAAACCATAGCCATTTTTTACAGTCGAAAGAGAGATCCATTCTTTACAGGGAAAGGGAGATTAGAGAGATTTGTGCAGGTTAATAAACGATTTTTATATAATTTATACATTTATTTAGTTTTTTACCGTGGAAATTTTTATATAACTTATCCATGTATTTAGTTTTGTATTATATTTTGGATTGAATAAATGTTCCAATAGAAAAAAACTGATAGAGAAAATTTGTTGGTGATTGTTATGAATCAGATTTCGTGAACGTGAACACTAGTATTGGATTTGCATTAAATTATAGAATATGGAAGAGTCCAGTTTGGCTCAGAATATGGAAGAGTCCAGTTTGCCTCAGAATGTGGAAGAGTCCAGTTTGCCTCATTTCAATGATGTTGAGGTAAATTTATTGTATCGTATTGTTTATTTATTTTGATGTGTTGTATTAGTACATTCTAATTTTATGTATTATTAAACCATTTAATCAGGAAATGAACGTGATGAATTAGAAGATATGGGATGTGCAGAGGAAGAGTAGAGCTCATATTGGAATGGTGTGATTCAGTTGATAGTCTGGTGAAGTATTACCAACGGTATTGTAACAAAATAGGATTTGAAGCAATGATACGTACGTCAAAGAAAGGCGAAGTGGAGAGATGAGATATGTGACAGTCGCATGTTCTTTCTGGAAAGAGGAGATGTAAGTCCATAAAACCTTGAAAAAACAACCTGTTGCCAAAACAGATTGTAAGAGTCGGATTAGTGCAGCTTTGAATGGTGAATGCAAATGGGAAATTAAAT